TATGGGGGTTTAGGGGTTAGGGGTTATGGGGTTAGAGGTTAGAGTTTAGGGTGCAGGGGTTTGGGGTTTATGGGGGTTTAGGGTTATAAGGGCTTCGCTTTAACATGTTCATGGGCTGTTGGGGCATGAAGTTAAGCCAGGATGGTGTGAGGTTAGGGTTGAGGGCTTAGGCGGCTACGGGTTTTGAAGTTGAGGGCTTAGGGTTCAGGGTCCGTGGTTTAGTTGAGGGCTTCAGGGTTTCACAGGGTGTCAAGCAGGGCTTAAGTCTAACTGCCAGACATGAACAAGCGCTGCGCCTTGAACCTCCCTACCTTTAGGCCCCATAGTAGTTTTTTGAGTTTCATACTTAGAATCCTATAAGGTAATCCCAAAAAGGAACTACTATGGGGCCTATGGGTAACACCATCTTGTCGTTCCAACCAAGTACACAAGCACGAACAGTAGATAGGGATACGCAAACCCTAAACCCTAAACCCTAAACCCTAAACCCTACACCCTACACCCTAAACCCTAAACCGACGCAATGATATCACCTCCATTCAAGATCAAGGCCGATAGGGGACATCCCTGAGGCTCAGGGCACTTTGTCCTTTGGCCCTGTATATGGGTAGTTCTCTAAATTAGGGTCCCCTTTTGGGTCCCCAATATAATACCGCACCCTTATAAAAAGGACCCTAAACGGGACCCTAATTTTGAGAACCACCCATATATACATCTCCCCTCTTCGCCTGCCGACGCCCTATCGGCCCCCAAGCCCGCAGAACGAAAGTCGGGATCTGTACGACCGCTGACCGCTTAAACAAGAAGGAATCACATATCCATACAGCTATCAAACCTGGCTAGCCTCGTAGCAGACAATGAAACTTAAAGTCTAAATCAATTGTCACAAGACTGACACCCTCAACCCTGAACCATCGACCGCTGGGGCGTTTTAGTGGGCTACGCACCTAGGCGACTACGAAGACACAGCAGCCCGAAGATAGAAATCCCAACAGCTGCAACCCTGAGCCTCAAAGACCGATAGCTCCCTACATGTACCAGTCTCAATTGCTTCTGAAATGCTTCGCATAACATCTAGAAGTACCAAAAGCCCGCATAGGGACGGCGGATGGGCCCTCCATGTTCGGACCCTGAAACCTGCAGAACCGAGGCAGCAGCTCTTCTTTGACAATGTCAACCCAGCGACGCGCCTTCTGGAGAAACGGCGGCAGATGCCCGGGGCCTTAGAACTGGGTTAACATAGGGGCCTGAAGGCCCTAGGCTTCCTCTATGCCTGGATCCTGAAAGTATGTGGAATAATAGGCCTTTATAGATTTGGGGCCATTATGTCACCCACCTTTTTTGGGGGGTTAGGTATTATCTAACTATACGACAACAGGGTGTTAAGGAGGCCTCCAAATTAGGGTCGCGGTGGGGCGCGGGGGAGTAAGGGGTTTAGGAGTCCAGGGTGTTTCGGGCTTCTGGTCGGGGGGAATGACGACCCTAAACTCTAAACCCTAAGCCCTAAGCCCGAAAGCCCATAATGAAGGGGGTTTAGGGTTTAGGGTTTAGGGGAGATCCCCAAAAGAGCATAATGACTACGATCAAGCTTGGAGCACTGTCTTCACGCACGCGCACATGCACATGATTCCTCCCCTCGAGCCGGAGACTGCTAAGGGGCGTGCAGCGACTTCTCGACAGCCTTGCACCCCTAGCTGCTAATCCTCCCAAAGCCTTACGTGGACCCCAACAGCCTAGAATGATGGCCCTTTTGAGGCGTTGGGCAATTTTTGTTTCCGACTTTTGGCGGTTTAGTTTAAATATTAAGCCCTTGTCGGTGCCCTTGAAGCTCTGTCATCCTGTCGTCTTAAAGACCCCAAGCTTAAACCTGGTAGGTAGAAAGCACCCCAGAGAGCCCTTATCTGGGTAGTTCTAGGGTCCCTTTGTAGGTCCCCAACATAGTACGGGACCTTTTTAAAAGGGCAAAAAGGGATTGCAATTTAGAAAACCACCCACATCTAAAACCCTAAACCTCCTAAACCTCTCAACCCTGAACCCATGCACTATGAGACTAATATTATCTGAACTGCCCATATGATAGACGCAAAGACACTCGGAGCCCAAAGCCCAAAAAAAGCCAAGAGGCCTCAAGAGCCCAAAGCCAGGTACGAAGTGCAGGATGCCCTGGAAAATCAGAAGGCACTGTCTGGGGGTTTAGGGTTTACGGTTTAGGGTTTACGGTTTAGGGTTTAGGGTTTAGGGTTTACCGTTTAGGGTTTAGGGTAGTGAGCGTTGTTGGTGGTGTGGTGTCCTCAAACATCAAGTTGTATGGAACACGTTCGTTAAAACGATGTACCCAAACTGAACCCTAACTACCCAACGCCCGAAACCCCTCATCAACTAAAGCCTCCGGCGTTGTTGCAGAGTTCCACCGGGGCCTGCTCGGAGGATCAGGGGACGCATAGTAAGTCAGGTTATAAGCACATCAATCGGTGTAGCAGTTCTATCGTTGCATATTAGGATTCGGGCTTTGGCGTGCAGAAGATGTCGTTTCGATGGTATTGTTGCCTGGCGTCTGTTTCCATAGTCAGAACCTCCCGAAGCCCTTGTTCCCAAATCACCTAACCTAACCATAGAACCCCGAGCCCTGAGCCCCTAACTCTGAACACCAAAATCCTGAACCCGAAAGCCTAAACCGTACCAAACCCGAAATTCTAATCCCCAAATCCTGAGCCCTTATCAATCCTGAACCCCAAAACCCGGAGCCACGTCCGCAGACAGAACCAGAGAGCCGCCAACTCTCGATCCAAAGACCCTGAGCCTTAAAGCACCCCTTGGTTTAGGAATGTTTTAGGGTTTAGGGTTTAGAGTTGTGCGCGAAACCCCAAATCTCCACCCTCCAAAATCAACCAGAGAGTCCTTCTGCAAAGGCGCGGTTCGCCAAGGAGGAGGACCAGTTTAGAAAGAAGGAAGAGCAGCTGCGGGTCAAGGACCGTGGCTGGCCATTCGTTTTCTTCTTGCGGTTGGGGGGGGGGGGGGTACAAGGATTCTATATGGGTACAAATTATCAGGGTTCCTTGAAGGGTGCTGTAAAGTCACTATAAGAGTTCTTGGAGGGTTGCACCGTGTTTGCGAAGGGGTTGCGGACGGTTCTTGGATTTAGGGACACGAGCAACTGGCCGCAGTCCTTCTCGCAGGGACTCTCAGCCGGGATGTGTGCATCCTAAACGGCTCTAGGGCCGACCTAAACGCCCCCAAAAGTAAGTGAAATCGTAGCCCGACACCTATAAAGGGCAGTTGTTCTACATACTCTCAAGGTCTAGGTCGAATCTTGCCGGTGATCCGGACAGGCTGAGTGCTGACAGTAGGAGTATGAGATACACAATGCCAGTTATACTGGCACCCGGCCACGGCACAGCAGTAGACCTCGGAGAGGGGCCTTGGTTCTCAAATCCAATTAATGTAGGGGCCTTAATGATTGGGATGATGGGTTTTGGGGCCCATTATAAAGTTCAATATAGTAAGGAACCCCACAATAGCATAGGTACTTTGTTCTGAAGGCCCCTAGATTAATTATGGTTTCTGTATGTAGGGCTTTGGGATTTATTGGGTTTTCACGGTCAGTACCCTAGAGCGAACTTCAAGATCCTGATCCTCTAAACCCTAAACCCTAAACCGTACCCCTCTGATTCCATCATCCGCAGGCACCCTAAACCCTAAACCCTAAACCCTGAAAGGCGAAGAACTTCCTTACCTTCTAGAACCCAAGCCTAACACCCTAAATCATCACACTAGGGAGCGAGGTAATGCCCTAAACCCTAAACTCTAAACCCTAAGCCCTAAACCCTAAACTCTGAACCCTAAACCCTAAACCCTAAGCCCTAAGCCCTAAGCCCTAAACCCTAAACCCTGAAGTTGAGGATCTCCAGCTACAGAACCAGCTTGTGAAGTTCAACAAGTTCTTGCAAGACAACGAGGCGCTGTGATGTGAAGAAGCCCCAAGCCGATGGGTTGCCAGGTAAGGGATTCGAACCCTAAAGCGTGGACCCTGAAACCTTTAACCCTTAAACCCTAAAGCCATCATCCTTAAACCCTAAACCCTTAAACTCTAAAGCCCTAAAGCGTGGACCCTTAAACCCTCAAGCTCTAAAGCCTTAATCCTCAAACCCTAAACCCTAAACCCCTAAACCCTGAACCCTAAACCCTAAACCCTAAACCCTAAACCCTAAACCTAAACCCCTAAACCCTGAGAGTTTCGCGTTACATACGGGACGTTAGCACTGAGAGCCTGAGGGTTTTGGGGCAAGACCTTAACCTACCGAAGCCAGCTTCTTAAGTGTAAAGCTTAGGGTTTAGGGTTTAGGGTTTAGGGTTTAGGATTTAGGCTTTTTAAGTGTAAACCCCAATATGGGATTTATGGTGGGTTCAAGTAGAGCTGAGGGCTTGGAATTTCAGGGTGCAGGACTTTATTCGGGGGTCGAAATAATGCTGTAGGGGCCTTTATTTTTTAGAAGAGGGTTTTTGAATATAATATACTATAGGTATAAAAATACACCAAAACAGTATAGGAAATTACTAAGGCCCCCATATTAAGAAGTACAGCCCTGTTCCCTTCAAGTCCGCATATACTTCTACTACAGTATTCCCCCCTCCTGTGCCCCCCTTCAAGAGCGAGGCTAAGTAGTCATGCTTCCTTTTGGTAGGGTTCTGGGCTCAGGAGTTCTGCTTCGGACCTAAGTCTTGGGCCTCCTACCAGGTTCCAGCATGAAGGGTCGTAGCTAAACACGATTTTTGGGGGTTTAGAGTTCAGGGTCTCGGGTTTGGGGTTTCGGGTATAATCGGGGTTTAAACTTAGTATTCAGAGTGGTTCAGGGTGTAGGGTTGATGACTGGAGCTTTCACCGCCCCTCGCACACCGAAGCTTGCGCTTGAATGCAACCGATAACCATGCCTAGCGACTAGGTGACTAGGTCTAGTTCGGGGTCTCCCTTACACCGAACAGTAGCAAACAGGTGCGGCAAACTTGCAAGCCCCGGAATCCTAGTCAACCAATGACTGATCTTTCAGACCCCAAGGACTAAACCGCTTAAAACTCGATGAACGCAAATTTAGGCACCAAGCCTGACTAACCCTAAACCCTAGACCCTACACCCCAAACCCTGAACTTTGGTCACGGTTTTGGCCTAGCCATCCCCGAAGAACCCTCAAGCCCAAAAAGCTGTGAAGATCCGTGAAGCATGGGGTCCCACCAGACGAGCCCTCAAAGAAGCCTATAGGGTTTTGGGTTAAGGGTTTAGGGTTTACCAGACGAGTCCGCAAAGAAGCCTATAGAAGAACACCAGCGGCACTCAAGAGAAGCTGTGGAGTAAACCTGCCTAGAAAAGGTAACAACCATCTTTTCACGGGCCACTTCAAAATAATAAAAGGGTTTAGGGTTTTGGGGTCTAGGGTTTAGGCTAAATCCTAAACCCTAAACCCGAGCCATTGCACTTTAAAAAAAAATCCTAAACCCTAAGCCCTAGAACCCTAAAGCCCTAAACCCCTAAAGGTGTTCTTGAGCAGACGGGTAAAGACCCCGTCAAGTGACAGGCGAAGCGACAGCGCTCCGAGAAACGTGCAGCGGAGGAAGCTGCGCGGAACCCCAAAGTCGTGAGCTTTCAGCGTTTAGGGCTTAGGGCTTATAAGGGTTTAGGGGGGTTTAGGGCTTTGGGTTTAGGGCTTAGGGTTTAGGGTTTAGGGGTTACGGGGGTTTAGGGTTTAGGGTTTAGGGGGGGTTTAGGGCTTAGGGTTTAGGTGTGTTTAGGGCTTAGGGTTTAGGGCAGTACTTCAGCTTGACCCATGGTTACGAGTTTTCTTACTCTGTCTTCCGCAGGAAGCACCTGGCAGTTACAGCATGCTACAGCACATCCTACCGACCTCGGCTCTATGTACTCGGAGTGTTAGAAGAAATGCCGGTTCAGAAAAGCGGTCCTTCGTGGGTTTGCCTGAAAGACAAAACGGTGCTTCCACTACACCGGCTATCTCATACCGGAAGGCATGTGAGTTTGTCTCTTGTGAGCATTGAATGCCACGAGGTTCCTAAATTCATAATCACAAAGACTCTCCCAAATGCAACGAGGTGCTACCTTCCCCGAATTACCATGGTACCCGACCCCCGATTGTGCCAGCACGGTCCCCTGCAGTCCGATCCTCCCTCTATGGTAGGCCCACGCATTGGTCTTGCCGCCTAATTACGGACCCGAAACTCGTATCAACCCTGAACCCGGAACCCTAAGC